AAAAGCTGCTACTGGACTCTGGAGACTAGTAAAGTGCTTGTCATACAGTAGAAGCTCAATAAATGCTCAGAAAATAAGTAAAGTTACATGAGGCAACATAATACAATAGGAAGAGCTGTGGATTTAAAGGAAAGAGAACCAGATTTGTGTACTGTCATTTATTGACTATGAAAATCTATGAAATACCAAAAGATTAGACACAACCCAATTGTTGACCTAAAAGGAACTAGTTATATAAACTGTGGAATGCCTACACATAGACTACAGTATTAGTTTTCTATTGTTTTCATAGCAAATTATCATAAACTTAGTGGCTTAAAACAACACAAATGTATTATCTTATAGTTCTGGAGATCCGAAGTCTGGCACGGGTCTTACTGGGCTGAAATTGAGGTATCAGCAGAATTGAGTTCCCTTCTGGAGGCTGTAGGGGAAAATACAATTTTCTTGCCTTTTCTAGCTTCTAGACGCTGCCTACATTCCTTGGGTTGTAGCCCCTTCCTCCACCCTCAAAGCCAGCAATGGCCAGTAAAGTCCTTCTTACATTGCATACTCTGCCTCCTTTGCTTCCCTCTTCTACTTTTAAGGACTCTTGTGATTACATTGGGCCCAGAGGATAATCCAGGATAATGTTTTTATCTTGAGATCATCTGATGAGCATCCTTAATTCCATCTGCTGCCTTAACTCCCCTTTGTCATGTATATTAATGGGTTCCAGAGATCAGGCCATAGACATCTTTGCCTATCAGATCTGTAAAAAAAGTAAGGGAGTCTGGGCATAGGTTCATGCCAGTAATCCCAGCACTTTGGGAGGCCAAGGCTGGAGGATTGCTTGAGACCAGGAGTTCAAGACCAGCCTGATCAACACAGGGAGACGTTATCTCTACAAAAAACTGAAAAATTAGCCACGTGTGGTGGTGCACACATGTACCTACAGTCCTAGCTACTTGGGACATTGAGGCAGGAGGATCAGTTGGGCCCAGGAATTTGAGGTCGCAGTGAGCTATGATGATGCCACTGCACTCTAGCCTGGGCAACAGAGCAAGACCCAGTCTCAAAAAAAAAAAAAAAAAAAAAGAATAAGGGAGCTCTCTATGTTCTGATGGGAAAATTCTCCGGATACATTGTTACATAAAAAATGCCAGGCAAATAAAAGTGTAAATAATATGCTACATTTTACATAGAAAAGGGAGGAAATATGAACATAAATTCAGTTATATTTGTATAAACAAACCCTGGAAACATATGCAAAAAATATAAAAGTGGTTACAAATAAGGAATGATATGGAAGATGAGAAGAAGGGGAATGGGATAGATTTTTCAATGTATTTTTTAAAATTACTATGATTTTGAACCGTGTAAAAATATGTTTTTCTTTTTAATTCAAGGGTTCATAACTGTCCCAAAGCTCCCATTATTCACTGGATATTCAAAACCTTTTGTTTTGAATCATCAACTTTGTTAATTTTCTCTTCTTAAATGAACTCTTCTAACAGGCAAATCCTCATTTGTCAGCGGCTTTGTATCAAGCAATCTCTAGCATTACATTCATGGACTTCATGAAATGCTGCATTTTTTGCAAAATTTTTGAAATTTCACTTTGAAATCTATATTATATTGTGAGACTTTTTTTTATCCTCTGTCATTGCTGCAGTGAGAATGTTAGTGTTAAAGATGGAGCATGTCTTCAGGTGGGCATCCATTTTGTAAGTGGTCAGGTAAGTAGTGAATATTTTCATTTTATATTCATAAAATTATAGACTTTACCCTATGTAACTGTAGGAAAAAAAGTTGAATAATAACTATGCGAAACTATTACATTTACTTGAATCTATTTCAGTATTTGTTATTCTGTCCATTCTTGCAAAAGTCCTTTATCTTACATTTAATTTAGTAGTAATATTATGTTTTAATATATTTAGTGGTTAATCTCTATCATAAAAATCTTCTATTTATAAAATATTTTGTGGCTTAAAATTGAATCATTGATTTTTTTCTAGTTAGATTTACTAAGGTATACTTTACATATAGTAAAATTCCTTTTTTAGGTATTCTGTTCTATGAGCTTTGAAAAACAAAGACAGTCATATAACCACCACAACAATGAAAATATATTTTCAAAAAAGTTCTTTCATGCCCCTTTGTTGTCAATTCCTTAACCTTACCTTCAGCCCCTGTCAACCACTAATCTGACTATCCCCATAATTTTGCTTTTTGCAGAAATTTACATAAGTGCAATCATATAGTATCTAGTCTTTGTGTCTAACTTCTTTTCATTTAGCATACTGCCTTGGACATTCATCCATGTTGTAGCATCTATCCATACCTTATTTCTTTTTATTGCTGAGTAGTATTCCACTGTATGGCTATACTGCAGTTTGTTTTCCATCAGTTGATGGACATTTGAGTTGATTCCAGTTTTGGGCAATTATGAATAAAGTTACTTTAAATGTACATATGTATGAATATATGTTTTCCTTTGTCTTAGGTGAATACTTAGAAGTGGAATTGCTGGTTGTGTGGGAAATGTATGTATAAGTGTTTTCCAAAGTGGCTGCTCCATTTTATATTCACATTAACAATGCATGAGAGTTCCAGCTGCTCTTCATCCTAGCCACTTGATGCTATCAATTTGTTTAATTTTCACCATTCTAATAGGTGTAGTGCTATCTAATTGTGGTTTTTAATATGTATTTCCTGGAGCCTCTTTTTATGTGTTTATTTGTCATTCATATTTCTTCTTTGGTAAAGTGCTTATTCAACTCTTTTCCCCATTTATCATTTATTATAGGGTTGTAAGTTATTTACATATTTTGTATACAAGTCCTTAAGCAGATACAAATATTTTTCCCAGTCTATAGCTTGTATTTTCATTTTCTTAACAGTGTAAAAGTATCATCTGAAGAGTGAAAGTTTTGAATTTTGATGAAGTCCAATATTTTAGCCTTTATATGGTTCACACTTTTTCTTTCCTATCTAAGAAATCTTTGCCTAATGCAAAGCCAAATAGATTTTCTACTATGTTTCCTTCTAGAAGTTTTATAGTTTTATGTGTCTATTTATATGTATAATCCATTTGCATTAGCTTTTATATTTTGTATGAGGTAACCGTCAAGGTTCTAAAAAAATTTGCATATGGATATCCAGTTGTTCTAGCACTATGTGTTGGAAAGATAAGCCTTTCTCCATTGAATTGCCTCTGCAACTTTGATGAAAATCAACTGACCATATAGGTCCATGTCTATTTCTGGACTCTCTATTCTCTTCAATGTGTCTAATCAATGTGTCTACTATTCATTCACCATTTTCACAGTCTCTATTACTGTAGGTTTTATAGTTAGTATTGAAATCGGGAAGTGTAAGTCTTCTAAATTTGTACTTAAAAATGTTTTGGCTATTCTAGGGCTTTTTTTAATGTATATTTAAGAAATAATTTGTCATTTACTACAGAAAAAAACCTTTGGAATTTTGATCAGGATTGTGCTGGATCTATAGATCAATTTGGGGAGATTGAAATCTTAACAATATTAAAACTTTGAATTAACACTATATTTCTCGATTTATTTAGGTACATTTTGATTCTTACACATGGAGTTTCATCAGGTACCAAAAAATTTTCATTGAACTTTTGATTAAAATTGCATTAAATATAATTTTATAAATCATGATAAATATATCTTCTCTCTTCCAATGACTATAAATTTTACTATGCTTCCCGTGGTAGAATTACCAAAACATCATCTAATGGTATATGCAGACAAGAATATTTGTTATTTTAGTAATTCAAAAAAACATTAATCCTTAACATACTCTTGCAAAATGGCTTCTGGGGTCAAGCAGCTCAGGAAATATCACATATCCTTCAGATTCTGATTTACATTGGTCATTGGCTTTATTTGGTAACTGAGTATTGCAAATATTCTAATATCATTTATTTTGCTTTCCTGTTGCTTTATTTATACATTTTAAAATCTGCTTTCATAAAAGAGATTGATTTGTTCCCTTTATTTGTTATCTTTTTTTTAGCAGGATGCTTACGTTGACCAGAAAAAATAATTTATGAAGCTTTCCCTGTATGTTCATGTTCTGGGAAAACATAAATCACATAGTAAATTAATTATCCTCTCAGGTATTTAACAAAATTTGGCACCCACATAAAATTTAACACTTGATATCAAGAGTAATAACAATGGTTTTCTTCAGCATTCATTGCATTTTAATTTTTAAAAATATTTTCATATCATTTTAAAATCTTTTTTCATATTTTATGCTATTCAAATATTTTTGACAAGTAAATATGATTGGAGCAATTAAGTATAAAATGATACAGGTGAGACTAATTACTTTCATAGAGAAATTCTTAATTTTTTTTTTTTTTTTTTGAGACAGGGTTTTACTCTGTCTTCCGGGCTTGAGTGCAGTGGTGTGATCATAGCTCACAGCTGCCTCTATCTCCTGGGCTCAAGCAATCTTCCCATCTTAGCCTCCCAAGCAGCTAGGACTACAGGCATGCGCCACCATACCTGGCTAATTTTTAAAAAATTTTTAGAGACATGGGGGTCTCGTTTTGTTGCCCAGCCTGACCTCAAGCAATCCTCCTGCTTTGGCGTCTCCAAGTGCTGGGATTACAGGCATGAGCCACTGTGTGAGGGATTAATTTTCTATATTAACCACTTTCTGTTACCCTCTACTGGTTTTTAAATATGTATTACTTTCTAATGCTGTACCGTTACTTTACATTTTTTTCCAAATATTTCAATCCAAGGTTGGTTGAATCTGTGGATGTGAAACCCATGGATATGGGGGGCTGACTGTACTCCATTGCTTAAATTTTAAACATTAACCTCAAATCCCTTGGAAAACTGACACATTGAAATAAGTGGGGCTACCAATAGGTGTGGCTGCTAGAGAGTATGTAAATATGAAGAGATGTACATATTCAGACCAATCAGACTTTCAGCTTGACAAACTAGAGAGAGATATGAAAAGGTGATACTCACATCTGAGTTAAAGCGAAGCTGACAGACGTTACAAGAAATAACTTGTTTCTTCTTTGGGGGAATGGACACTCCAAATGTGTGGTTAATGACTGCTTTTTGCACAGGGTCCATCTGAAGAGCAAACGATAAAATACTCAATTTACAACTTTGAAGGGTAGACAATAGTGTGAGCAAATAAAAATAGCTATATTATTCCTTAAGGTTTTAACTTTTAGTTAAACAAGGATAATAAAGCATCTCACTTAATAGTAATATATCTCCAGAAGTTAAAAATAAAAAGAGAAACAAAAAATTGGTTTGAAATCATAACACAAAAAAGACCACAGGAGAATCACCACATCCCAAGAAATCTTATATCCATAAAAGGAGCCTTGAAAAACCTTAAAAGAATCATAAAACAAGAAAACTTAAGATCCAAAGGTCAAGGTTAAAATTAACTTAGTGTTTTCCCTGTATGAGGCAGTAATACTTGAGATGGTCTCAAATGACCTTCATGACAATTATTATGGATATATTTAAGTTTCTTAATTTTTAATTTATGGCAAAGTCATGAATGACAGGCTCTTATCACAGGATATAAAACACTGATCTTTATTTTAAAATAATTTATTAACTTTCATGTACTATAGGTTGAAATTCATTCTCTGAAAATGCATGTTACAGTTGTACACTTAAATGCCTAAAACACATTGGTTAATATGCAACCCTTGTTTAAATATTGATAAAGTTAAGTTTTGACTTATAGCCTATGAATTTCCCCTTTTTGGCTTGTATATATCATACATATTCAGAGAAATATACAGAGATAAAAGTACTCAAACAGAAAAAGTACAGTACAAAGCCATTAAAACAGGAAAAGAAACACCTCTATCTGTAGAGCCTATGAAAAGAAACACAACAGTGATTCTCTTGTGCACTTCAGATAATCATCTCCAGCATTAACATCAGACAAGTGGCAGTTCAAAAACAATGCAGATGATGAAAAAAGCATTGCTTATAAACAGATGTAACATGAATGAGGAGAGATCCACTGACACCATCATCTAGGAAATCTCCTGAGGTTAGAGATTAAGATTGGATTAGTTGATATTTGATAGAGAGCAGAAATGAATACCATCTCTAATCATGATTATAAACCAACAAAATGCAAAATTAGCAATTAGAAGAACTTAAATACATTAGTAAAGAGGGTGGATTGAAGAGTCATTGAATAATAAATGAGCCAATTTTTTTGCTACAAGTTTGAGATGTCAGGACAATGTATTCCCACTATAAAGAACAGTTATAGTGGTTTCGGACACTTAAAAATGTGAAGAGGGAGATTTTTGGAGTGATAGAACTATTCTTTATCCTAACTGTAGTGCTGGTCATACGAATCTATACAGGTGTTAAAATTCATAGAACTATACACACCCCCCAAAAGTGAATTTATGTAGGATAATTTAATAAATAAAAAAGAAAAAATGTTAAGAGTATTATGTTTACTAAATGTAAAGTATTATTACTGAAAAATCTGGGGATTCATTTTTTCAAGGTCATAATTGATTGTATTAAATTTTATTTAATGAGAATAATAATAATAAAAAAAATCTTGCATGGGGCAAAGAAATCTCAAAAAGTCAGAAAATAAAATCCTAGTTAATTTTCTTATTTTACCCACAAATGCATACAGTTAAATCTATCCATCCATTTGCAAAATATGAAACTATACTTCCTAATAGTTCCTAAAGATGGCAAATTAATTTGGACAGGTTTAAAAATAAAACAGCCTAACTATGTTGGCAGGATGCAAAAACTATTCTGTTTTGTAAAGTTAAAAAACAAGAGCATTTTATTGAGATAATTTCTGTTCACACGCTCTGAAAAATATTACCCATCTGGTGATGCGTGAGCTACATGGGATTAAACTATATGAATATTTTCCAAACACCAGTTTTCAGCATACAACTTTTGTTATTTTTGCCATGCCCATACACTGACATTTTTTTCTTTAATTTAAATTTGATTTAAATTAAAATAGACTTCTACAATACATAGACAATAATAGCCATGAAATCATAGTTTTAATGTACACTTTCCTATTACTTCTTTCAAAGAATATATTGAAAATTAACATTTAAAATTAAAATTTTCATCACTTAAAATAAATGCACATATCCTAGTTGTTCCCATACAATATAGAAACACAGACAAAAGATAGATCTACAAGAATCGAGTTTCAAATTTTTAGTAAACCACGATATCTATTGACAACTTCAACAAGATCTTTGAATATATGTTCCCTTTAAATTTTTGAAATTGTTAGCTGTCTAACAGCTTTATTCTGCTCAAATCTCACATTTGTATCACATCAGCTCGAAAATATGCCATCATGTTCCAGAGGCTGAGAGCTCTCTGTCCTGCAAGGTGAGTTGTAGCCGAGCACTCCAAATACAAAGGCGGGCAAGTTCCCAGCCATCTGCTCTCCGAAAAACAAGCTAAGGAAGTTCCTTCATGAAACTTCCACCAGAATTGGGTTCTCTAGTTTATATACATAATTCTGATTTTTCTCATAAAATCAAATACACACAGCCCTTTTACCCCTTCTTTGCTACCTGTCCTTAACTCTTGCTGCCTTTCATCCTTTGAATGACTTATCACTAATCATATCAAAATTTTACCTTCATGTTTCTCACTTGGAACAGATTTTCTTTATTTTCCACTTGATTCTCTATTTCCTTATAGGTTTTGGGAAAAGATCCACTTTTTATTCTGGTCAAAATCTCTTTTCTCTTCTTCTGTTGTTTATTGAAAAATTCTATTAATATTTTTATATTCAAATGTCATTTGGGGGGGGACATGATTTAGATGAAAGAAGACTTTAAATGATATAAAAGAGAATATTCCATTCGCCAAGTTATCTGGTATCTTGAAACACTCTCAAGCTGATGTTTTGTTTCAGTGTTTGCCATCTGATGCAATAACTATAAATACCTGAGTCATTTCAGTGGGATCCAGATGTGACAGCAACAGAGAAGGTTTTCAGATACCTTTTTTTTTTTTAAAGTACAAACTGGTAAAACTCTAAATTTTTTCTTGGCTGGCTCTGTGGTGCAATGGATAGCACATTAGACTTCTTCTAAATTTTTTCTCGGCATTCCTACAGTGCTCTAAAATCAGATAAAATAACTATGAAATTAATCTATATTAACTTAAATTTTTCCATCCACTAGTTCAATGTCAATTCTCTGTAATCATAATGAAATGTGTATAACTAAATCGTTAGTAATTCTTTTATTCAATCACCAATTTTCAGGATGAATAAAAATATTCCCACAAATCCTAAAATGTGATAAATTCAAGTGATTCAATTTATTATAGTCAAAGCTATACCTCTATATCATAATGATTTCATGCGTAGAATACTCAGGTAAATTATTGGAGGTATTGCAATTCCACAGTAAGTTCTCATTTTTAAAGATTCAACTGGCATTTCATAGACATTTGATTGTTAAAATGAATAAGTGCTTTCAAAAATACTTATTAAAATGCTTATAATATATAACATTTAAATGAACAAATTTCTCATTAAATAATCATATTAAATTAGTTCATGTTAGTTCACACTGCAAAGAACTGCTGATTGAGAAAATTATGATTTATCAGGAAATACTACTAAAGAAGCTTTTTTTTTTTTTAAGGAAAAAAAAAAAAAAACCCTACTACATAGCTCTAGCTACCAATACTCCTTACCTGGCAGAATTTATTGGTCCCAAATATGCCTCTTCTTTTCTAAAAAAGTAAAAGTTAGAAGTAGTCATCTGGAATTTTGAGGCTAGCAAGCACAGTTACATAAAAATTTAAAAAAATCTATTTTCCTTGTTCTTCTCTGAGTACAAAGTCTGAAAAAGAGTTAACACTTGCCACTTTTTCTAATGAAAACCATGCAGAAATGAAAAGCAAAACCTATTAGTGCAATTAACTGGTAGGTAATAAAAATGAAAGATGAGGTTGTGGCTGTTACCAGGAATTGAGGAGGTAATTGGAGGCCATATATGGACAAATTAACTACTATATTATAGTACTTAGAAAATGAATTAATGAAGCTGGCCTTATCACACCATCTATCATGTTTTCGATATCAAAATAAAAACAAACAGATTTCTTTGGTGTATTCACCAAGATTATGGGGACTACAAATTGGTGTGAATTTTTTAAAAGATCATTACTTTCACTGGGTATACCAAAAAGTAATTTACTTCTGCCCAGGATAAGCAATCATATAAAAATATGCAGCTGCAAATAAAACCTAGACACAGAGAAAAGAGACAAACTGCAGTGCTGCACTAAAGGTAGGATGAACCTAAGATGGGGCTATGTGACTACGTGATCAAGGGACTTGACATAACACTAGGTTATATTTAGACTCTAGATAATTTTGCTAGGTGGAGGAACTTTAGGCAGGAAAAACAGAATTACAAACTTGTTAATGATCCCAATACCTTTTAAGAGGGCTGAAATTTGAGTTCTATCTTTGTAAGAGTCTTAAAATGATTTAACTAGCCACCCCGTAAGGCTGAGAATGGGAGTGAAATGAGTACTACCCCATTAAAAAGCAAAAAAGATGGGGAAATCTCACCTTAAACTTAAGGATCTATTTTAACCAATGTTCTAAAAAGCATGCAGTAAGCACTTATCATTTATGCAATACAGGAGGCCCTGCTAGCTTTTCTACTAAACAGAAGCAGAAATCAGATTTTTGACTTTTAAAATTTCAAGCAAACATTTCTGGAGGCCTGATATGTTTCAGAGGCTGTCTCAGACCGGATAGGGAGATGAATCAAACATGAGAAAGGGCATAATTTTAAGAGTTAAAAAGTGAAAACAAGTAGCCCAAACTATTTAATTTGGGGCTGGGAAAATAAGCTGTCATTAAGCAAAATAATGAGGCAGGAGAGCCACAAAGAGATCTGTCTCCTGTGCCCCACCACTTTGCGTTTTCTCTCCTTTTCTGATTTTCTCATGCTTCGAGCATCTAGGATCCTCCCTTTAACAGTGACATCCATGTGTTATCCTCCCAGGATATCTTTTTAATTCTTTTTTCTAGCTGTGTAATAACAATAATAACATCA